GAAGATCTGAASTGAAGTRCACAGGAGCATACCTTCCCCTTTACTCTGCCTCTTATTATAACGTGCAAGTGGGCCGTTAAGGCACACGGGGATGTGGGCAGCTGCCGCTCAACCACCATCAACGTGGGCAGCCTTGTACGTGCGAGGCAAAGTGAAAGAGGAGCGGTTGCCCCAAAGAAACCCTAGCTAAACACGGTTCAAAATGGTTCTATTAGGGGCGGACTCGGTCCGGTTCTACTCATCTGGTTGGAATAGGGGTTGTTGTGGGGGAAGCTTATAACACACACACACACACACACACACACACTCACACACATGACATGGTGAGCCCTTATCCATCAGCCAAATTCATACCGGGCAGACTGTTGGGGTTCAATCTCCCGTGTATAGTGAACATAACGACACAGAGAGATACACAAACACACACACACACACACACACACACACACACACACACACACACCTGTCTCTTATACACATCTAGATGTGTATAAGAGACAGATTGTGGGGGGTCCCTGTCGTGGTTTCCGACAGAGGCGTGCAATCATGTCTTCCCATCGATTTGTGACTGAAGTGAGATTAGAGCCACTCACCACTAGGGCTTTTTCTATTAAGCTCTGGTCATTATCACGGTCAGATTCATCTTGGTATGGCCGTAATTGCAGTCAGATACATTTTGGGAAGTGCTAGTGTGAGTAGGCCCCTTCGATAAAACACAAAAGTTTCTTTGAACGTTTTTAACTTTAGAAGAAGGGGGGGGGGGTTGTAATTGTAATTGGCTTTATTCATGGCGGAGGTTCCAGCCGGGGGGATTCTTCAATTTTGTAGTCATTGATCGTGAATAATCGGAGGTCGGAAATGAAAAATCTGACCTGGGCACGGGCACGTGGACTCCATGTCCACTGAACCTGGACGACCAGTTCGAAACTTGATTTGTATCAGTACATATCAGCGTCCAGGTGCACCGGTAGAGACTGGAGAGGAATTTTTGAAAGCCTGGCCACCGCAGGTAGGTCCATCCCACGATCAAGTGCGCTGACAGCGACTGCAGAGGGATTTAAAAACCTGAACCCCCCAGGCGGTTACATTGGTACTAAGGGTCTAGCCATACCACTGTCGAAATGAAAAAAAGTACGAATGCATCTTCTGGCAGAAATTGGTAAAGTTCATCCGTTACTGTGAACAGCGACGGATGCACCTTACCAATTTCTGCCAGAAGATGCATTTGTTCTTTTTTTTTTTGTTTCAACAGTGGTGTGATGAGGCCGCAAGTTGGAGGGGGGCTAAAACCCTGACATATCCCATGATGTCAGGGGTGGCCCCTTTTTCTGTACTTTTCTGAAGTTGTTCCTTTGGAAAAGAAAAAGATGCACGCTATGCTAAGCAGGAAAGAATTGTCTTTCCACTCTCTTGCAGAACCAGATAATGCCTGTGATCCTTCTGTATAGTCCGAGTACTCATTTAATTATGTCGTAAATAATATATCAGTCCCAAAAATTGGGTGGGTGAATCTATTGATCTCTAACGTCAAGTTTCGTAGGAAATGAACAGTGTGCTGGGTGCTCACTGTGGGATGATGTGCGATAGCGAGGAGGACAAAACAGAGGAGGAGGAGGAGGAATGGGAGAGGAGGTGGAAACGGGAGAAGATGAGGTTGATTGCGACGAAGATTATCGTACGGGTGATGTTGATGATGATGTTGATGATGATGATGATAATGGAGGTAATGTGGAGACCATGGCGATATTGAGGAGGGAATGATAGATATGATGATGGCGATGAGCCTGCTGCTGCTGCTGCTGATGATGATGATGATGATGATGATGATGATGATGATGATGATGATGATGATGATGATGATGATGATGATGATGATGAACAGAAGGATGATGATAGCTCGACGGTTTTTTGAAATCGTGCTGTGTGGAAAGAAAAGTATGATATGAAAAATTTTCCCTTTTTTTTTAGTTTTCCCTTTTGTGAGGACTTCTTCACTCGCACTATAGCTAACCCTGTCTCGAGAATTTGAACGAGTCTCTCTGAAAAGTTAGGGGACTCGGGACAGGGCCAGCCTGGGGGCCGGTGGAATTTTTCTTTTTGTTCAGGGCTGCGCCTAGTGCCACCCCACGGCATGGGACTTTTTTGTTCTTCTTTCTATGGGCCCTTTGGACGCCCTCTCCCGAGCCTCCAAAATTTTAGGAGAGGCTCAATCAGATTCTCGACTTGGGCTGGGGCCCTGTACTGGGGGTTCAAGTGACCAGGGATGTGGGACTAGGGTGGAATAGGAACAAGCACCCGCCCTTGAGCGGCCATTAGTTCGTTTGAACCACCACCATAGGTTATCACTGCGTGCAGTGTGCGCGTTGATATCTGTGCTCTGAACTCGATGGACTGTTTGGCATGAGATATAGCACCGCAGTGAATGTCATTGACACCACCATTGTGTCTGGAATAACCAGTTCCAAGGCCGAGGGCTGCCAGCAAATTTCACGGCTGTAGGATGTTGGATCCTGTGCGGAGGAATTGAAGGGGGACTGTGACATAACGGTGTAGCAGACTTGAGGAATGCCCATGTATTTTTTCTAGTCGGGTGGCCTCTGTACCCCATCAACATCTCTCTTTATCCGATTAGGAATCCCAATAAGAGCTCCGTACGCCATTGACATCTCTTTGCTCACCTGGGTGGCCTTGCAGTGCGAAACTTGTCGCCACAAGGAAACGAGGCGGAAACGTCAAACGCGGGGCCTGCTGTTGATAAATTGGATCGGCGGTCCATTTTTCGGCTCGCGCTTCCATTATCGGAGGTGTCAGGCCCGCGGCCCAGGTAGCCGTGTGCCGGTGCTTTAAAACCACCAGTACACCTGAGCGTGGCGGACTGTGCACTGCGCGCCAAGCTTTGCCGAACCGTCAGCGGCGCCTGTTTTATTTTCTTTTTCAGCTGGCGCCACCGCCTGTAGTGGTCTGGTAGCCTCGAGCCTCGGAAACCTTAGGAGTGAGCCATGGGTTTTTGAGGTGGGCTGTGGCCGTGTACTTGCGGTTTAAGACAGCAAGAACCTCCTGGCTGTGAACTGGGCAGATGTGTGCTTGAATGCACAAGCATTGCAGCAGCGAGGTTGCAAGTTTTGTTATTTGTCGATTCTCTTGCACTCTGAGAGAGGTTACGAGACTTGTTACTGTTAGTATGAGGACTAGGTGCCACTGAAGAAAAAAAAAAAATGTTTGTGAACTTTGTGTTGTGCAACCACTAAAATGTTCCTGCTATGCACTACGTCCGTGCTTCTGCCTGGAAGTAACAGTTGCCCAATTCGTGCTTGCATACATAGTACAAATGTAGTTGGAGTGGGGCCTTCTCCTTAGTCAATCGCATGTCTAAAGTGTTGTTGTAGCAGGCGTCATTATAGTTTGAAGGTCTTGGGCGTCATTTGGGTGCCAATTATCTGCTCACAAATATTGCTCGCACCCTCCTTGCTGGTGATTGCCATGCAAGCTGTCATTCCATCTTCTGTTATGGTAAC